ATTACTTCAGGGGATTGTTTTCAGTGTTCCTCTTGGTCTCATCTGGGACCAATTTTTAAATTGTTAAATTAAATTGTTGGCTTGACATTCAGCTCTCATGATTGTGCCCAAACGAAAGTCGTATTTAGGAATAGAAGTATAACGACATAGTCCGTGTATACAGTTGGCTATGGAAGAATTTCTCTTGCTTAAATTTCAAGTCTTTGCCCGTGATCCAATATAACGTCGAATTTTCAATTATGTCAGGATATAATAGATACCAGACACATTTAAGAGATGGTCCTGAAAAATACGACGCTTTTTTGCTTTCAAAATTTATATGATTTTTTACTTTATAGCGTTTAAATAACTTGCAAAGTTCTTAGGTAAATGTTGAGGGTTATGTTTCGAAAATCATAAAATTTTTCATTGAGTTCACTTTTATTAGATTTTATTAATATTGAGCAGTCACAGAATCTTCATGGCCTCATCACAGTATTACCTAGACCAAATTAAAGTTATCTAAGTCCATATAATCCCTTTAGTATTCTAAGGTTACTCATATTAAGTAATCCAACTATAAACAGAACGGCTACTCAAGACTGGTGAAACAAGGCTAAAATCTTTAGAAAATCCGATTTTTATAGTTAATTAGTGTCTCACTATTGGGTATATATCTTCAAATTAGATTTATTATTTTTTTTTATTTTTTGCATGAATGGAAAAAGTCACAAAAAGTCATCTATTTCATGGTTGCTGCTTCTTAAGAACATTTGTTGGATGTTGGTTGGCGCTGACAATGACTGGCCATTTTAGATCTTTGTTTGTGTTGTTGTTGTTTTTTACATTCTTAGTTGGTTTAAAAATCTTGTTGTTGTTGTTGTTTTTTCTTATTGTTGTTTTTGTCATCGTCCGTAACACACACACATTGTACTTCAAACAGTTTAATTTAAAGGGCTCAAAAAAGTCGAAGTTTATTTCGTTTTGTTGTTTTTGTTAAAGTTTTGGCTTTTAACATTGGCATTCTGATGGTGAGTTTGTTATTGTTGTTGTTGCTGTTCTTTTATATTTTTACATACCAACACAACTACCATATACCATCGCCAGCATCGACGACAACAACGACATTTATCGCAGTCGTCGTGTAATATAAGAAGAGTTGCGTAAGTAAACTGGCGCCATCAGTGACACTTTTATTGTGCGTTAATTTGTTCAGCGGCAAAACAATTATTTCCAAATTAAATTCTTCTTCCAAAAGAAATAAACACTTAAAGAGTAAATACAAACACACAATGAAAGATCTGTGCACATACATGCGTACATATGTATGTATGCATCGTTAAAACTTTTAAAACAATAGAAAAACGCATTATTTCGGGTTAATTTATTTCTATTTTTAAGAAAACTTTTTTTAGATAACTTTTAGTTCGATACACTTTTTATTACGTTTCTGCATTTTTGTAATTTATTTCATGTGAAATCTTTAACCGAGCCGTTGTTACGTTAAATCTGAAAAATGTGGTAAATGCTTTATTTTATCATATAACTAACTATCTGTAAGTAATCTTGCATTTGGATAGATGCGGTTTAAAATTGTTTCTAAATATCTAGACTTTTTATTGGTAGTAAAAGTATGCTAATCACTTATAGGAACTCCTAGAATCAAAAATCCTATTCAATATTACATATCTGTGATTGAAATAGTACCACCGACTTTGTTCGTTGATAGTTCGATAGGGCTCAGAGGAGAGTACAAAGACATTTTTCCAAAATATTATCTGTTAACTATATTTGTTTGTAGGACTCAAGTATTGAATTGTCCTTCACAATCTCCAGACTTGAATGCTTCGTAGAATCTCTATGGCATTTTTAAGCCATAGGCCTTCAAATTTGTTGGCCCTACTATTGTCTTCAAAATAAAGATTTAACCTCCGTCAGATCAGAGATATCTGAACATTAAATTTGAAATAATTCGGGGTTTTCTTCCTTTTTCTAATTATTGCATTATCATATCGATTCTAAATGAACATCAGGGTGATTTTCTGTATAGGGTGGCCTATTTTATGGTGGTACTTTTTCAGCCCCAAAGTGAGCTTGAGACGACCCACCATCGATTGCGGTCTCTGGATTCGGCAACAGCACCTAGAGACGTAATCGGTAGACTGATTAGATTCGACACATTGTATATGGTACAATGCCATACCCATACATACCCATATACATGAGTATATGGGTATGGCTAGGTCCATATACGTCTGATTCATTCCCTATCTTATTCATTTAACACCAACTCATTCCCAACTTTCAGCATCATATTCATTCCTCTGATGGGTATCTATGATCATTTCAAAAAGCCTCTCCAATAAGTGGGACAAGACAAAGTGCGAAACTCTTCCATACGGGCTGAGTTACAGGTTCCCATGGTACAAAATAAAATATGTGCTCTGGTTCTACCCCAAATCAAATCATTCCAAGGAAAGGTCGAGAAAACCAGTTTATAGTCTAGAGAAGACTAGAAATATTGGTAGCACCACTTTACCCCGGTATTGCAATCACACCAAGATGAGGTAAGCTTCATCAAGTTAAGTTGCCCCGGGGGGTTTGGCTCAATTATGGAATTATTGATCATAATGATCTATGCTGCTTTGGCTTAGTGGCAAAAGGTGGGACAGGTTACAATCGGGCTTCTCCGGACAATGTTTATAGTATCATACATATATGTATGTTTCTATAACAGGGAATTGCCAACTTGAAAACTGGTGACTTTGTAGGTTATATGAGTATAATGAAACCATTCATGAATGATAAACACATTCGAGTTCCTAGTCGTGGGTCGCCAACTATGGGTTATCTGGACAAAACTGGTGGCAAAAGCTGCCAAAACTGGAGAGGGTATCAGTGTCCTCACTTCCAGAAAACCATCCCCTTGAGAAAATATCCCCCATTTTTTCAAGCAGAAATTTACGCTATCTTCATTTGAGCTATGGGTTAGGTTGGGTATTGTAATGGACTGGATGACTTCACTGAACGAATTAGGTAGACACAACACACTAACTTTTTTGCAAAGTGTTTCTCGTGGGTTGAATCTGAATATAATCGGCAAATCATTTTATAACACTGTCAAAGACCAAATCCCAAAAGCTAGAATTTTGGGTGATGCTTTACTAGGCCCAAAGGACATCTTTAATCTCGCAACATCTCATGCGTGAAATTAATATATTATGGTCAACTAATGGGCAGCACAAAAGATGTGGGGTTGAAGTGATTCAATCTAATTTTTCTTAAATCAATTTTTGTCGAATTTTAGCATTTTTAAGTCAGTTATGAATGTTAAAGCTGTTTTTTGAACGGTATATTATATAAGGTCTAGGGTCAAATAGGTAGACTAGTCTAGGGTCAAATATGTAGACCGATTTTGCCCATTTTCAATATCAAACCTTATCAATAGAGAATATTCTTCCGTGTGGGCCCAATCAAACTTTCAATAGGCAGAGGGAAAAACTAGATCGTATTTGAATCGTATATAAACTTCTGTGGGTCTATGTCCAATATCATTATGTGTTATAAAATGAATAACAAAATCAATACACTCCCATTCCCCACACATCTTTTTTGATGAAGGATTTGAAAATACACACACGTTATTAATGCCTTTAAGTATGCAACAGTTGTGTGAAACGAATAAAAAAAAAAATAAAAACTAGATCAAAATAAAATGAATGAACATTCAAAGTCAAATGCCAATAAATATGTACAACAAACGAATGAACGAGCAAGCGAACAAAACTGAATGAAGGAATAAAAATGAATGCACGACACAACAATAAATAAACGTATAAAAGCACGTGAACATAATCATGACGAATGAATACTTAATAAACTCAACAACTACAACGAAAACATAAGGAAACCAAAAACAATGAATTTAGAGGAGATTAAATTAAGGAATGTAATAAATCTTAAATTGAAAAAAAAAATCGATAAGGAATTTGATAATAGGTGATATTTTAAATAATTCAAAAATTTTCGCTAAGTTCCGATTTCGGTCGATAAATTTTGATACACATTTTAATTTATTTGCACATTTTATAAAAATGGATGAGACGACAAGAAATAGGAAATTAAATACATAATTTAAACACTCACACATACATACACACACTCATGTAATATGTGTACTCAGCATTTGTAACCCTGCAGTTCCCGAACTAGTTAATTAACAGTTTGAGGATAGTCCCGGACTAGCTACTTAATCTACCACTATGGGGTAACAACTAGCCATCCGACCAGATGAGAGGTTACACTCCACTTCATAGATTACAAAGAGACAGTCAGAAAACATGTCCAAACAAGACAATACAATGAAACTTTTCGCTTTTTTAAGTGTCTACTTTTTAGATTACTTGGGGACAGTAAAGTGACAACAGTCTCCGCTTTTCGCTTAAGTTTTTCAAGTGTCTACTCTTTAGATTACTTGAGGACAGTAAAGTGACAACAGTCTCCGCTTTTATTTATAAAGAGTTCATTCATAATGAAAGACGAATTTGAGCCAACCAGTTTGGTAGAGATGACTGTCATTTTCGGATGCATTGACTCCTTGACGAACTGCTGGGTAATAATTCTTGTGTAATTTATAACGGTTATATTAAAACAATAACAAAAGTTTTTCCTAAGAAACAAACTACAGAAAAGAAAAAACGCGATAAAAAACTGTTATAAATTCATGACAGAGTCAAAATTGTTTTTCAATTTCTGTTTTACTTTTCAATTGGTTTTTAAGAAGAAAAAAAATTGATTCTATTGGAAAAAATGGAAATAAAGTTAAAGAACTTTAACAAACTCAAATACAATAGATAAAAAACAAAAAGGAAAAACAACAACATGACAAACGTTTTCTAATCCTTTCATTTATTTTATGTTCTCCTCTTTACTCTCTCTCCCTAACTGTTGTTATTCTAACTTTTCTTTTCTCTTTACACTTACTACTATATATTTATGATGTTTTTGTTTTCTTTTTAAAGCTTCCCGAAGAAAAATCACCACAACATCCTGTCGAGTTATCCACCGAGTTAATGCTGGCATGCACGGTGGCTCTATCGCCATCCTATACAAAAAAGCACACCCACCCCAAAGTCTTGGAACGCCTACCAGATTTAATAAGGTAAGTTTTGTTTGTTTGTAGTAAAACTTTAAATGACTTACAGAGATTTCTTCAACCACAAAGAGACTGCAGCAGAAAGAGAATATTGATTGTTATTGAAATAGTTTTCTTTGATAAAAGAGAGAGAGAGTATAAACTTGGTTTTGTTTTCTTTGATTATATTGTTTAAGGGGTAATTTAATAATTGCAGGAGAAATTCGAATGTAGAGTAGGAAAGAGATAACCGTATACTCTGGTGAGTGTTAATACAAAGAGAGTAATAGGGATAACTGTATGTCATGGTTAGGCGTGGTGCATTATTTCTCCTTTTCATTTTATATTTTAAGTGTTAAAAAGAGTACGCTATACTTTAATATTATAGCCATTTCATTTTATTGATATTCTCTAAGCGGGGCAAGGGAGTTATCACACTCACCACTATTGATAATGAGTGTGTGTTGCCACAAAATATTAATCGTTATAAATATCACATGCATAACAACCAGCAGCAACTAACAACATACATTCATTCGTTCATTCATTTATTGTCATCATCATCTTCTTCGTTGTAGTCGTCGTCGCCGGCGCTGTAGTTGTAGTCAACCACAGCGTATTTATTATTGCCGTCGTTTGTTTTGGATTAAAAATTTAAAAAAAATACATTTTCTAGCCGTTTTTCTTCTTCAGCGTTTGTATTGTGCATAATTTTCGTGGTTTTAAAAGTTGTCAGGCAGTGGGGCAAAACCCCATTTTAGCACATTCATTCCTCTGCTTTCCTCTTAAAGTATAAATGAGTATACAAAAAGGAAATTTAACGTGTATTTCTAAAAAAAAGAAAATTTTATTGTTTTTGTTTTTCATTATTTTTTATGTATTTTTGTTGTGTCAACACTGTGTGTAAATTTTGTTATTACTGTTGTTGTTTGTTATTTTGTACTTGTTATTTTTTTCTTGTGTTGTGTTCAAAAGTACAACATACTATTTTGTTAGATATGAACGTATGTACGATGATGGTGACTCCTTTTTACTTTTGCTCTAAAATTTATAATATGGTTGTATGCTTAACGTGACCAGACTTCTCATATTTAGACGGTTTTACTCCCGGTAAAAAAATGTTTCTCCCACCTTTTTTTCATTTCAGAACAAAAATAAAAACATAAATAGCTATAAAATTTTTTGACAAAAAACGATGATTTCTTCAAAACTTCTAATTAATTTCCAAATTTGAGGTTAAATATGGTCATTAATCAGACTAGACAGATTATAATCTAGAATATACACTCATCTACAGATAATACTATAGTTTATATTCTGTATTAGACATACTACATAAGTATGTACCTATATGCTTTCATTCTTTAGATTAGACAATACTGTATCCCAGACAACAACTGTAGTCTTGACTATAGACTAAAGTTCAGACTAGACTTCCAAATTCATTGGTATTGCCATATAAGAAGAGTTTTATCGGTACATATTCGGTAATGGACAATCTTATACACAAACAAATTATAACCGGAATGAATTTTGTAATAAATAGTATGAATGGAATATGAATGGAATATGAATGGAGTGTGAATGGAAAAATTAGAACATTGGAATTAATCGTTTAGGCAATGCATATATAAATCCCATTCTATATTTGATAATATCCATATATAAGCGAATATTTGTCTATGTCAAATCTCGGTCAATCATGGACCAAACACATCGTTTTTGTACACTTTTATCATAATACTCAACACTTGGAACAATTTATTAACAATAAAATGTTTTGTGTAAGAGTTATATGGGGAATTGGATCAATTAAGGACCGATCTTCAAAACATTTACTAAAAAAATTAGTTTTTATCGTATTCACCATGGCATCAGAACCGATCCTTATACAAACTTATTTCTGTCGAATTTCATAGCTTTGACGGCATTATTAATCTCGTAATGAGCGTTAAAGTAACTTTCTGAAGGGGTCTTATATGGGTGTAGCGTCAATCATGATACGATCTCATACAATTTGGTAATAGATTTTGGTTCCTACAAAATTTGTTTATTTAAAATTTCATCAGTAATGAGGGGGATTTTATATGGGAGGTAAGTTTTTGGTTCCTTTAAAGCTAGCTTTTATTGAATTTCATCGATAAACTATCCATTTTAAATACCAAACAGTCTAGATTTTCAAATATAAATATGTATAAAGAAATTCATACTATTTAGGAAATTATTCTTAACTTTATTTAATGAAAACAGTACATGTCATTTAGGTATGTACTTTTTTCTGTGTAGGACAATTTAATTAGCATTTATTTTATTATAGTTTTTCAAAAAACTGTTAATCAGATTATTTCTAAATTATTAAAACTAAAACATTTGAGCCAAGCATGTAATGACATTTTAAACGAAAATTAATGTGAAAATGTTTGCGTTTTCCTGAGGATCTTTTAATATTTTATTTCTTTAGAAAAATAAAAATGCATACATTCCAGTTCCATTAAAAGTAAATGCCAAATTAAATATTTAAAAAATACACTTTTTGCAAAAGCAGCATATCTTCAAAGAAAACTATAAAAAGTTTCTTAAATCAACATTAAAATTTTAATTGATCTTCTAAATTTTTTATTAGTTTAATTTTATTGCGTCTAAATTTTTATTTTATTTAAAACAAATTAAAAATATAACGCTTTATCTGCCGATTTTTTTTACGAGTTTTTTCCCCAATGTCATAGTTTTTGTTACGACCTGTTCATGGACATTAAATTAAGCGTTAAGTTGTGTATCATCATAAATAATTTGTTTAAATATTGTTTAAAAATAAAATTATTTAAGAATAAAATAATATAGAATTTAATAGCGGAAATTTGAAAGGAAATTTCTTAATGGTTATTTCCACTTTAATAAGTATATAGTATATATGCTAGAATATAGTCCATTCTATAGCTCATATTACAGACTAGAGTGCAGACTATAGATAACACTGTGGTCGAAACTACAGACTATTGTTCAAACTATAAACTTGGCTATATTCATAGTCTATATTTCTAACTACAGACTAAACTATAGTCCAGAATGTTCTGAACAGTCTAATCTATAGTCAGCGTTATATTCTAGTCTATAATCTGGAGTATAATCTAGTCTTTAATCCAGACTATAGTCTAGTCTAGATTATAACCTATAGAATAGACTAGACTGTTGTCCAGACTATAGAGTATATTATAGTCTAGACTATAGTCCAGACAATAAACCAGACTATCGTCCAGACAATGGATTAGACTTGACTATAGTCCAGACTATAGACTTGACTATAGTCCAGATTATAGACTAGACTCTAGACTAGAATATAGAATAGATTAGACTATAGTCCAGCTTAACTATAGTGCAGACTATAGTTCAGACTATAGACTAGACTATAGTCTAGACTAGACTGTAATACACACTAAAGACTAGACTATAATACAGACTATAGACTAGACTATAGTGCCGACTATAGACTAGACTATAGTGCAGACTATAGTGCAGGCTATAGACTAGACTATAGGGCAGGCTATAGACTAGACTATGGTGCAGGCTATAGTCCAGACTATAGACTAGACTATAGTGCAGACTATAGACTAGACTATAGTGCAGGGTATAGACTAGACTATAGTCCAGACTATAGACTAAACTATAGTCCAGACTATAGATTAAACTATAGTCCAGAATATAGACTAAACTACAGTCCATAATATAGACTAGATTTTAGTCCATACTATAGACTAGACTATAGTCCAGAGTATAGACTACTGTACAGAATATCGACTATACAGACTATAGACTAGTCTATAATCCATACTATAGACAATACTATAGCCCATACTATAGACTAGACTATAGTCCAAACTATAGACTAGACTATAGACTAGACTGGACTATAGTCCAGACTATAGACTAGACTATATTCCAGACTATAGACTAGACTATAGTCCAGACTATAGACTAGACTATAGTCCAGACTATAGACTAGACTATAGTCCTGACTATAGACTAGACTATAGTCCAGACTATAGAGACTAGACTATAGTCCAGACTATAGACTAGACTATAGTCCAGACTATAGACTAGACTATAGTCCAGACTATAGATTAGACTATAGTCCAGACTATAGACTAGATTGTAGTCCAGATTATAGATTAGATTATGGTCCAGACTATTGACTACTGATGAGAATATCGACAAGTCCAGACTATACACTAGACCAGATTATAGTCCAGAGAAGAATCTAGATTATACTCAATACCATATTCTGGACTACGGCGCAGACAATTTTAGATTTCTGAAATTTATTTAAAGTTCAAATTTGTTCGGTGTATAATGAGTTTTCCATAAAGAACGTAAGCTTCGATGCATTCGTCTGACATATTTAACAAAATAGCAATTAAAGCAAATTTTTGCCAACCTTGTGCAGACATTTGCAAAGGAATCCTGATACTAAAAAGTTTAACGCATTGGAACATTACTCATATTGGTATCATTAGAATCTTATCGATTCCCTTTTTGATTTCGAAGTTAACTGAACAGAACCAGGAATGATTAGTATTTGTTTTTCTTTTTATTCTTTTTAGTTTTTGTTGCCCATATTGTTATTTTCCACAACAAACATAACAATTTCCGTTGTTTATTTTACTCTAGAAAAAGTTTTCAATGAATTAGATTTGTTTTATTAAAGCTTGTGTTTTTGTGTATCTTTGGGGTTTTTTTGCAACATATTTGTTAATTTTAAAAGTTTTGTTGAGGTTTTGCTGAATTTTCACTTTTTTCTATTGAACTTTTTGCACATTTTAATTTTATTTCTGTGGAAATGAAGCTCAAGTGGAAGAAGTGGCCATTGTTGGTAGATAGATGGATGTATGGATGAAGGGATTTTTCAACTAGTGTGCAGTTTTGTTAGTGATTTTATTTAGAGTCTGTATTTGTTTTTGGAGAGTATTTATTTAAAACCAAAATCATTGTCATGTTCTAATTTAGGAAGCTCATGCACATGGATGCAATGT